ATTTAATCCCCTCCCAAAGGCCTCATCTTCAAACGCCATCATATTGGGGGTCAGAATATGAATCAGGATATATAAAGATGTAGTCCATAACCCAGACCAAATCCTCCCTTAATTAGTGCACTAGGAAGGCATCTAGACCAGCAGGGTAAAACTCAGAGATTTCAGCAGAGAGCATTAGGAGGACAGAGCTTCCAGGGACAAGAGCAATGTTGGATTAGGAGGAGAGGACAAAGAAAAGGTAGAAGTAAAAAGAGACAGAAAAAAGGAGACATGTCCACCCAACACAGAGAACCCGGGTTTGAATCTGTCTGTATGAAAATCTCTGAAGCTGGTGGAATACTCACAGCTAACATGCCACTGGGTGCTGGCAGTGTCATCACTGATATCCTGTAGTGGCTTGTGTCGAGTGAAAGGCCTTTTTTCCTTGGAAGCCACTCTGCTTAAGAGAGAAGCCAGGATCAAAAGTCTCATGCCCTTTATGTTGAATCTGGTGGATGTGAGATATGTTCTGAGGCCTCACTCCCCTTCCCTCTCTTCCTGAACTGGGCAGAAATAAATGATGGTGTCTCACAGTGTTGCCTCTGGGGTTCAGGAAAGCAATTTCTCTAATAAGACGCTCCCTTTACCTCTGAAGATGAAGGAGGAGAGCATTCTTGGTGTGTCCTCAACACACCTAGCTCTGCTTGGAGGCATGACTAAAATCCTGCTCTCAGTTCCAGAGATGAGGAGGTCCCCTCACTTACACACACTCCACATTTTAATGAAAGGGATTTGCAGCAGCCAAGGGGAGAGTGTTACCAAGGCTGAGCGATTCCAGTGTATGTGCAGGCCACATGTGCCCAGGAATAAATGAAAACATCTTTACATTTTTGTAGTAATGTCTGCACTCTCCATCTATTATTTCTTAACTTATAACTGAGGCATAGTCTTTCCTTAGCTAACAACTCCTTGTCTTTCTGTACAGAAGAGTGAGCAGAATCCTTCATCATGAATATGGTGATTTCACTGCCACAAACATTTTTAATGACATTCTGCAGCTTTATCTCATCTGGGGACCTGAGGTGAATTATGATTTTATTCTAAAGCTTTTCTGGTTTCCTGGCAGCCATTGGGGTTCTTGTGGGGTTTGTTTGCCTCTCACTGTGCCCTGATGATCCATCTAAAGGTCTAAAGACTCCTCACCCCTCTTTTATAAACAATTGAATTTCTCTCCTCCTTCTGGAGAGCAGGGGGTGGTGAATGTTTTCTTTTGAGGAGATTCAGGTTTATTTGTACCTCTGAATTAAATACACACACAAGGTTTTACATATGATTTGTGGGGATCTCAGAGGGAACTTGTGGATTCCTTGAGGCTTAACTGTGTTTCCCTGTTGAAAATGCCTCAGTTGAAATAGAAAACATCTTTTGTTTGTTTCTGATGCTAGTGATGGTGGGTGGCTGCCCTGTTCTCCTCAAAACTCCCCCCTTCGTTGCTTTTACAATCTTTGCCACTGCAAGTCTGCTAACAGCTTCTCCCTCTATTCTGATGGAGCTGCCTGAGGGCAGAGATGGTCCAAGTGGCCCAGAAGCTAGGGGACAGGTTTCTAGGGCTCAGAGTGATTACCACTGTCATTTCAAATCCTGCCTAGGGTTTCATGATGTGTACTTTCAAACTTAAGGGGCAGGGCCAGAGCTCTGGTGGTAGAGGTGCCTGGCTCAGATCTCCCTTAGAGGGAGAATGGTGGTAGAGTGTGCAGACAGCTGACAGCTCCAGCTGCAGGGTGTTCGAGCACTCTCTCCAGAGAGCTCCAGCCAGTACCAGGCCTGGCCATTTCTGGCAGTGCGGGGCTTCTCTCTGGATAGCCTCTGTGTGCTGTTGGGCCACCGGGGAGCTATGTCACAGAATGAGGCTCTTCCTGCTGGTCTGGCGTGTCATGTGGTCTGCAGAATTTCTCCGGGTGCTTCTGCTTCCTCTCCCTTTACCCCTTTATCTTTCTTAGGTGTCCCCCACTCCAATAAAGCCCTTGCAGTTGTAACTTTGTCATGGTATCTGCACCCTAGATGGCCTGAGCTGAGCCACTCTCTATTCCCAGGTGACATTGTTGGTCATTGCACACAGTCTCACTTTACTGTCCCAGATCTCAACCTAGAAATAGTTCCCACATCTCACCAACCCATTTCGTCATGGAATTGGGAGTTTGGTGAGTGATGTGTTCACCCTTCTAGCTATGCAAGTTACTAGGGTTCCTAGTGCCATCCCATTGAGACTCCTATGGGGTGTCTAAGTTCCCTAGAGAAAGGACAGAGGTATGAGACAGTCAAACACATCCTTTATTTCTATACAGAGATTCTTTCCAGGATCCCAGGCTATAAAGCAAGAAACTTCAGGAATGGCCCCTCTCCACCTATACCTGACTTCCCTGAAATCAGACCAATGAAATCAGCTCCTGAATACCCTTTCTCCAGGATTCCACTCAGTCCTATGTCTCAGCATTCTGAGGGGAAAGGGGTAGGTTCCTCCTTTCCAGTTCCTCCCGTATAGGTCCCCCTCATTACCCTCCAATGACTGTGGTCTATGGACTGTGAGTCCATGGTATACATCAGAGCTCCTCCCTGAGAAAGAATGAGGAGGAGGAGGAGGAGAAAGAGGAGAAGTTTGGCACAACACAAATATCACAGTGACAGCAATTGGATCCTAAGTATTGGAAGTAACCTAACAAGGACACCTCCCTGGTGTCTTATCTTCTATTGCTACTGGACAGCACACCAAGGAAACACATGTAGGAGATAAACACAGGGTGACACATTTCTATAGTAAGAACAAGACCCATGCAGAGTGCAAATTGTGGTGTTCCTCACACATGGGAGCTGATAACATTTTTATAAGTCAAAGGGACATTGGGAAGTGAGTCAGAGGAAGGCTTGCTGGCACTTGCTGAGGGGATGATTTGCCATATTGGAAACTGCCCAAGACCATCCCGCATTCCCTCATCTTGTGCACGGTGATGATTCTGTGCACACTGCAGTTCCCAGCTGGTGCCTTTTGGAATTATCTCAGAGCACTTTCACTACAAAGGCTCTCCAGAGGTCCCAGCCTTTGGCTTGATAACCTGCATTGAGTGTGGGTTTCTAGAATCCTGTGGAGAGTCTAATCCTCAGGTGCCTCCATGTTTCTGAGCAGCCCAGACCTACTGGTAATGGCAAACAAGACAGGCTCCTTAGAGAAGCTGTGTCCCCAGCTCAGGGCGAAGTCCAAAGCAGGTGCTCAATAAAGCCTTGTTGAATTCAACTCTAACCTTTGCTTCCATAGGTGGGATGGTCCCAGCTCCTAGGTACTTCTCATAATCACATCAGTTTTTTACCTCCTTCTGAAGTGAGCAATCCATACACGGCAAGCTTCTCTATTGGAGTATGATTAATGATGTGCACATAGATTTCTGTTGCCCCTACTTTTGTCTTCTATTCATATATCTGCAGTGAGCTGGATTCCCTTAATTTAATTAATATTTTTCATGCTACTTTGCAGAATGTGGTTCTTGGGGTTTTCTGGCTTATATTATTGCTCCTTCCCCCAGGCCTAGTAGAATGAGAGCCAGCAGGGCCTGGAAAGGCTGCAAACCTTGTGGGTAGCCTTATTCTCCCCTTGACGCTCCGGGTGCAGCACACATGCACCATTATTTGCGTTGTGAGGAGGACATTGACAGATATTACATGGAGCTACTGCTACCCAGCCACATCTGGACAAAGCACAGGTCTGAGAGACAGACAGAAACTGTGTGCTCACTGTCTGGAAACTCCAAAGGTATTAGGTCAGAAAGCATGCAGTTCATGACTCTCGTCAGACTCACTGTCCTTTAGGGTTTGTGAGTCATTCTACCTTATGGATAGGAGGCCAGCAGAGCCATGGAGCATGAAGGGAAGACGCAAGGGGTCCTCTTCACAGAAGGGCAGCTGCAAGGGGTGGCATCCTTGCTCTTTTCATGTCTGAGCACATGCCTTATGCTAGTATAAAGGTAGGAAATCTTGGTTAGGACCCTACCCTAAAAATACCCAAAAGGCCCGAGCAGGAAGCCCCCATGCTGGTCTTCCTTGACAGTGTTCTCCAGCTGTGTAGTTCAGCCAGCTACAGCTGGGTGGAGAGATGCAGGCTTTGGCATGAAGTCCTCTGCTTTGCCAATAGCCAACACCTTCCAGGAGAAGGAATGTACTCAGAGTTATAGGATAAACTGGGTAATTTCTGAGATGGATAGTTACACATAGTCTTAGCAGTTGCTACATCTCCGGGAGCTGGGATTTAGCCATAAAACTTACTGCTGCTGTTCCTTCTGAGACCACCGTTTTTTTTTTTTTTTTTGGTGGAACAAATAAACAAAACACTCATAAAATCATTGAACCATGGGATATTAATATTCCAAGGGACACTTTGATTATCTAGCTTGGTCTCACTGTTTACAAATAAGGACAGAGGCTCAGACAGATTGAGGATGGCAAATGTCTCCTGATTTTCAGTCTGCAACACACATTAGCAGGGACCAGTGGACATATTTCCCCTGTCTCAGTTGCTCAGGACATCACTGGGGACACAGCGCAGGGGAACCTGAGGCTCTCATACCCATGGTGTCTAAGATACTGAAGAACTAAGATGTCAGAAAGGCGCAGACGGATGTCTCCTTTTTAGGGATGTTTAGAAGACAGGATTAAATCTTTCCTTCAGATTTTATGTGCAGCCTTCTTTTGTTTATGCTGTCAGATGAAGGCTGGAGTGAGCTGAGCTGCAGGGAGCTCCTCCGAGTGTGACTGAGAACAACCCACTTGCAGGGCTCCAGGTAAATGTGTCCATTGGGTCTGTGGCCATGTGGCAGAATTCAACCTGAAATGAGTGCCCACATTTAGCAAAGTCACATCTAGAATCATGGAATGGGCTTTAGGGAAAATCTAGTCCAACCTCCTCATTTTATAGGTTTAGCAAAGTTTAATGATTTGCTTTGAGTGGCACAATGTGGAGGTGGTGAAGACAGGCAAGAATCCAGATTTTCAGACTCAAGGATGGAATGTTTTCCCTAACCTATGCTGATCCTTTCCACCAGCCTGAATATTAGGGTGCTTGTGATGGAAATATCTATGCATGCAGTGAAGCAGGACAAAGATGGGTGCTGCCCCTGCTGAAGGTCCTGTGGCCTAGGATGACAGCACATTGGAGGAGAAGCTGAAGCTCTCTGTCATGGTCTTGGAATTGCTGCGAGAGGAGCCATTGGAGGTCAGGTCCAAGGATGAAGGTGTGGCTTTGGGGCCATCCTCTGGCTCCTCCTCGTGGGTCCCTGCTACTGTGGAGATGGTGGTCTCCAGGCGGCTGACTTTATACACACTGCCCTGGGTCTGGAGGTACCGGGTAGACTTCATCTCCAGTCCCTCATAGTCACCGGCACTAATGAAGGGGCAGCACCGGAAGGCGTGCTTAAAGCCCAGACGGAACCTGGAAAGAGAGCAGAGGAAGAGGTAACAACACCTGGAGACGCCTGCTTAGAGGGCCATCTTGAATATATGGACACGCCCAAATGGAGCATTGACAGCTGGAGATGCTGAGGCTGAAAAGATTTAAGAGTCAGTTATCAAGGTCAAATTTAAGACTAGAAAAAAGACATCTAAGACTAGAACCCATGTATGTGTGAAATGCATGTCTTCACTGTGTAAAGCCCTGAACCATGCTGCCTTCTCTGGTGTGGGGTCAATGCAAGCGTGGAGTCAATTCAGCATCCACAAAAAACATGTACAAAGTGTTTACTATGTGCTTGGTACCATGTTAGTTGCTGGGAGGTGGGAGGTAAAAACACATCTCAAGATCCAGACCTCTCCCTCAGGAGCCATTGACTGAAAGAGGACTTTCTGCCAGTCATATTCCTGAAGTGTGCCTCAGTTTCCCTGTTCATTAAACAGGGAGACTCAGTCTTTACTCAAAGATGTGCTGGGAGATTTAACCTAAAAGAGTTTAGGCAGGTCATCAAATTCTTAGGAGAAGGATGAATCTGTGAGTCGGACTAACAGAGACCATTCAGACAAGTTCAAGAGACTGTCTTTCCCCAAATTCGTAGTGCTTGAGTGTCTCATTCACAGAAGGCACTTTGCAGGTTGAGGACTGTTGGCTATAAAGGCTGTGAGGGCACCTGTTACTCCACATCCTTGGTGCCCTCTTTCCCCACCTGGAGGCTGGGGTGTGGGCTGCACATACTATGCTGCAGCCTGTGTCCCTTCACCTCCTGCTGGACTCTTAATTGTTGGCCATGGTGGGCTTTCCCCTCTCTGACTTGTGTGAGGCTGGTTTCTGTTGCAGGATGGCTCTTCCCATCCCATCTGACCAGGTGAAGGCAGGAATCAGACCTTTTTATTTACTCTGTCCGGCCGGAAGTGCTGGAAGAAACTAGGTAAAGCTGTCCAGGTCATAAGCTAGGACAGGAAGAGGAAAGTGAGAGAGTAGAAGGGGAGAATGTACTCTGTGGGGAATGATATGTAGTGCCACCTCTCTCTCTCCACTGGATCTGCAGGGCAGAGAGAGCAAACTTACAGGCCATGGACTGGAGACTGGTTCCAGCTGGCAGGCCTGCTTTCTATGCATCAGTCACAGAGGTTTTTAATTTCTTACTCCCCTGAGATTTCTGGTTCCTCTTGGAAAAGAAAAAAAAACAATCCCTTCTGTGTTGGCATTCCTGCCTGGTGACAGTCTGCAGAGGCTGAGTGTGTGGTGGTTAGTTCACAGCAGTTCCCACTTCTCCCTCTGGCCTTACACCTGCCTTTGCTTATCCAGGTTGGCGCTTGGCTGCTGTGAGGGCAGGTGGTCTGTGAGTTGTAGAGGGAATTTGGGGGATGGATTCTCACCTGTCGTTGAGGCAACAGTAGATGATGGGGTTGTACATGGTGGAGCTCATCGCCAGCCACATGATGGCCAAGTAGACCTGCTGGATAAACTTCTTCAGGTAGAGATCAGGATTAATGTAGGGCAGCAGGAAGAAGATGTGGAAGGGCAGCCAGCAGATGGCAAAGGTGCAGACCACAACGATCATCATTTTGACCACCTGGTCAGAGAGTGAGACAGGTGAGACCACCAGCACATGCTCCTTCGCTCATGGCTGCTTTCTCTCTCCTTCCACCCCCTCACCATGCACAGTGTGGGGCAGGGTGGGAAGTATTTAAAATATTCTCTTCCAAGGAACAGAAATGTCTTTAATATGTATTGCTAAAGGACTTTGGTTAGATCAGCAGTTCCCAGAGTGTGGTCCCAGGAACTTGTTAGAAATGCAAATTCCTGGACCCCTCCCAGACTTACTGAATCAAATACTCTAAAGTTGGGACCTGGAATTCTGTGTTAGACAAACCCTTCAGGTGATTCTAATGCATACTCATGTTTGGGGACTATTGTGTCATATATGCCTTTTGGGCAAGGACTGGAGAGGTCAAGGGAAATCAAATTAATGAGCAAAGGTGAAAGGTGTTCAGGAAGGAAAGTTCTGGTGGAGGGAACAGCAGAAAGTTGGGGAAGGGAAGGGCAATGAGCCAGGGGGAGACTGATGGGGAGGGAAGAAGAAGGGAAGAGATTTGGACAGCTGCAGCAAGGGAGTGTCAGATATTTATTAGGGCCTTAAAAGAAGATGTTGTGAATGCTGGGCGCTGGGGCCTGAAGCTGAATCCTACTCTGCAAGGTGAGGGGCTTGCAGGAAGTGATTAGGTTTTATGGGCAGTGCCCTCATTAGTAGGATTAATGTATCTAAAAGAGGCCTAAGAGAGCCCTCACCCTCTTCTGCCGCATGAAGACACAGTAAGAAGACACTATGCTTAAACTAGGAATTAGGACCTCACCAGACATATCTGTCAGCCCTTTGATCTTGAACTTTCCAGCCTCCACTGCTGTGAGAAATAAGTTCCTAGTCAAAGATATTTTGTTACAGCAGCCTGAATAGACTAAGACACTGAACACTGGGTGATGTCACCTTCTTATTTTTAGCAAAGAATTACATAGTATTCATACAATGAGATACTATGCAAAGAAGTACCAAAAGAAAAAAAAAAAGAAAAAGTACCAAAAGAAAAAAAATGAGAAAACTTTTATATATTGATTTTCAAAGATCTTGTGGATTTTAAGTGAAAATAGTATGTTTATTACTATTTGTGTAAAAAAGAATAAATATATATTTATTTGGTTTATAAATACCAAGATCTAGAAGGGTTAACAAGAAACAACAAACAGCCGTTACCATGGTGTGCATGTCTGTATGCACACCAGTGGGTGGAGGACCCAGAAGGGAGGGAGCTTTTTCCTGGTAAGACCTTCAAAATACTTTTTCACCTTTTATTTTTGAACTAATTAAGATCCTCAAAAAGTTGGAAAAATAGTACAAAGAATTCCCAGGTACCCTTTATCCAGCTTCCTCCAATGATATCATCTTACATAACCACATTACATTATCATAACCAGGAAACTGTTCACCGAACTACAGGCTATTTGGCGTTTTTGCCAGTTTTTTTTTTTTTAAACACTGCACTCTCTTTTTCCTTTTCTTTCTTTATGTTTTGGTGAATAGGTCTATGAAATCTCATGACATGTATGATAAGTGAAAATGCCACCAGAATCAGAGAATAAAGAATGCCGAGAATAAAGAAACTCACTCTGTCCCTTTACAGGCAACCCCTCCACCCCCAAACGCTCACCCTGGGTGACCCTGGATCTGTTCTTCATCACTATAATTTTGTTTCTTTCCTTCGAACACGTTTTGAATTTTGAATCATGTGAATGTATTATTTTGTCAAACTTTAAATAAATAATAAAAGATGACAAAATAACTCTTCAGTGCTTTTGTAGTTACATTGTGTGCATGTGCTGTAATGGATCGACAGATTGCAGTTACTCTTAAGGAGCAAGCAACCTGGCTCATGTCTGTAAAGCCAGCCCTGGGTTGAAAAGACACCCAAGAGACATGCCTCCCATCTCTCCATTGTCCCCCAGACCCAGGGGTGTTTCATGGCTGCCGCCTCTGGGGCTCCCCAGCTTGCCAGCCCGTTGCCTGTGCCCCGGTGGGTTGGGTGCCGCCTGACCCTTGCTCACCTTGCGCTTGGCAGAGACTTGCTCATGGTATCGGTCAGAGGAGTCTCCAGGGATCTCACTGGCCCATAGCGTGATTCCCACCACCGTGTATGCGTAGCCGATCACCAGCAGGGGGAGGAAATAGATGAGCACAGTCACACAGATGTGGTACCTGCAACGAGGTGAACTGCAGGAGTCAGTCTGAGATAGTTCTATTAGATTTATTTTTGTCTGTTTTTTCTTATTGTTATTACAGAAGAGGTCAGGTATGACAGCTGTCTTTCTCAGCATTTGCCATTAGTAAGTTCAAGCTGTGGGGCATACCTTAGGGAGGCTTGCCACCTGTATGGGAGAGAATGAGTGATCTAGCAAATCTCTTTGATTTATGTTTTTCTTGTGGACTTTTTCCCTAATAGGGATTCCTGTTCAGGTTGAAAACAGAAAAAGAAAACAAAACAAACAAACATAAGAACCCCTCTGTTGATGAGAGGGAACTGAATTTGTTGTATACCTGTTAATGTTAAGTTCAATACCATTTACATGGCTCCTTCCAAAATAATGCAAATGTAGGCTGCATTAATAGAAGTATCTTCTCTAGAATGAAGGAGGGGATTATTACACTCAATTCACACCTGTCAAAAAACACTTATGCTCAATTTTAGTGCAGGGATATAGATCAACTAGTACATTCTAACGAGAACTACCATGATAGTTAACAAACCCCAGTTTATGCTAGTTAACAAATGGATTCATGGGTATCAGAATAATTAGCTTGGAGAAGAGAGATAAGACTACTCCTAGAACTAGGATCCTGGCTAGTTCTAAGCCTGGCTTTCCTATGTCTTTAGACAGAAACTACCTGGGTCTCTGAATCATCACACTTGGAGGACCGAAGCCAAGTGACTCCCATTTGACCAGAGAAGGAGCAAGAAACAAATCTTTATGGTAGTAAATCACTGAGATTTTGAAGTTTGTTACAGCAACAAGACTCACTCTGCTCTGTTTAAGATAAGAGACTCAAATAAGTAGGAAGGTCAGTAAAATTTTTGAATTTTGAGAAAGGATATTTTTCTTAAGGGGGTCCTTAAGTTGTTTGGCTACTTTATAGTACTTTTCTTAGATATGAGTGTAATGGAAAGGCTCAGAATTCATAATGAAAATAATAACAGGTAGTATTTGGGGGGACATACTCTAGGTCACAGAGCCAATAATAATATTCATGATAGCATTAATATCAGTAATAATACTTAATTTTTTTAAGTGTTTATGAAAAGCATGAGGCAAGCATTTTACTAGCATTATCTTATTTAATCCTTCAATGATTGGAGAGGCTCTATCACAATCTCATTTATAGATAATGAAACCAAAGTTCAGAATTTAAATACAGGCAATTTGCTCAAATTCACAGCTGGTAAAGGGAGGAGCTGGGATTATAATGCTGGTCTGTTACCCCAGAACCAGCTTCTTGTCACTGGAGAAAAGCCACCCAGTGATTTTTTTTCTTCTACTCGGTTCATAGTCTATGCTTATCCTCTGCAATGATTTTCTTCTATTAAGAAAAACCCACTCATTTATTCCGTTTCTCCTTTGTGGACACACTATTTGCTTTCAGTCCCTTCTTTGTAATGCCCCACAGTTTTGTTGCTTGTGTAGTCCCCTCTGAATATTAAAATCTGCAATTTGAAGGTACTTGACAAGCTCTTAAGTAACAAACCACAGATTTGGCCAAGCAGAGTGCCAAGTGCATTTGTTCTGTGTAGACAGGCTGCTCCAGCCTCACATTGCTTTCAAAGGCACCTGAACTGTCACCTGCTTCGGGAGCCCCTGGATTCTGTAGTCACCAGGGCAGCGACTGCATACTGTGTTTTCTACCTGACTACCTGGTTGCTGGACTGACAGTGTGTAAGCCAAGCATTTGAGGACTACCAGGGGCAGGGAGAACCTGAGAACCTCGGAGTGACACTGAATTCTCCTACCGGTAAGAATGGCCCCTCCTCATGCAGGCTGATACTTGGTTAGTGACCTATACACGTTAGCTGACTTTGCCAGGGCATTGCCACAGAGCGCAGAGCACTGATTGTTGGGCTGGGGGATGTGATGGGAAGACACTGCTGTCATGTTACTACCCCAGGAGGTAGTAAGGAGGGGTTCTCAAACATCAGCAGGCTTCAGACCTGCCTGGAAGGCTTGTACAATGCCACAGAGCTGGGCCCCACCCAGAGTTTCTGACTCAGCAGGGCTGGGGTAAGCCAGAGAATCTGCATTTCTAGTAAGTTCCCAGGAGATGCTGCTGCTGTTCCTGAGTCAGACTCTGAGAAACATTGCCATAGTCAGGGCAACATTCCCAACCCAGATGCGCATGAGGATCACAAGGGGAGGTCTTAAAATGAACAATGCCCAAAGGTATTCATTCAAATGCCTGGATGTGGGGGCAGAAAACTATAGTTTAGAAAATTCCCCAAGTTATTCTAACAGACAGCTAGCACTGAGAACAACTGTTTCAGATCCTAGGTCCATAAGCTTGTGGGGACCTCATTGTTGTTTGTGATTTAATGATGTTATTAAAGTGTGTATTGACCGCATTTTCTGGTTTCTTTATCTGCTGCTTTGGTATCTGGAGCCGTGCTGACCAGGGAGAGACTCCTTTCAGGCCTAGCTAATTCCTGGAGAGAACAAAATAACTCTCAGCCAGGGTGCCTTTCATATGCAAAGTAACTAATCTCCTACGTCCCCCCCATAGGGCTCTTACTCTGTAAGGACATTATTCTTTTGCTTTAAGGCCTCCAACCCAGGTTTCAGACAACTAGCTACTATACCCCAGACACTACTAAAATTTAGTCAAACTAATTAATCCTAAACTTGCCCACCCTGCGTCACCTATTCCTTCCTGAGAAACCCAGATAGAGGCTTTGCAGGGTGGCACTCAGTGGTATAGGCCCTGCCCCTTCAGCTTGGGAACTGTGAGTAAAAAAGTGTGTTTTCAACGGCAACCATGTTCTGATCTGTTAACTTCACTGTACCTGAATACAAAATAAAATCTACATTTTAAAACAATGTGCCCTTTGGGAAATCACAGATCAGACCATTATGAAAATGCCAAGATGAATCAGTAAGCATAATTTATCAGCCTTTTTTATACTTCTCTTTTTAAAGAAGAAAAAGTAATTCTGTTATTTATTTGAAAGCAACCAAAAATATTGGTTTAATTTCATCTAAAAAGCATTATAGTCAGGTGGAGCATTCATTGGCTTTTCCATCGTCTAATAGGGATAATTAAGAATAAAATAGGGATATGATCCAGCAATTCTATTTCTAGATACAGACTCACAAGAGTTGGAAAGCAGAGACTCAAATGAGTATTATTCCCAACAGTTCAAAGGTGGAAACAACTCAAATGCCCACGAACAGATGAATGGACAAACAAGATGTGTATATGTATATACACATGCAAATGGAGTGTCATTGAAAACAAATGACACTCTGACACATGCTACAACATGCATGAACTTTGCAAACATTCTGCTCAGCGAATAAGCCAGACACAAAAGGAAAAACATGGCAGGATTCCACTTATCTGAATATCTGGAACAGGCAAATTCAGAGAGAGAAAATGGACTAGAGGTTGCCAAGAGGTGGAGGGAGGGAAGGGATGGAAATTATTGTTTAATGGGTGCAGAGTCTGTTTGAGAGGGAGAAAGTGGGTAGTTGTGATGGTTGTACACCATTGTGAATTTACTCAATGTCACTGATTTGTAAGCTTTAAAATGGTAAAATTTTTGATGTATATTTTATCACAATAAAAAATAATGAAGAAATTATGTAAGAAAAATTTAGCTACACAGGTAGTCTAGGTCTATAGATTTGCTGTTTCCAGGTGCTCCTTGATAACTACTCTGGCCCTAAAAATCAGGCAGATTTGGATGGGATTGAAGGCTACACACTTCCTTCTAAGTATTGCCCAGATAAATACCTTTACACAGAAATTGGAAATGCTATTCCAAACTCTCTTCAAGTTAACAAAAATTCTAAAAGAATGTAGTTCAAATGAATTAAATTGTGTCATTAGAAAATATAAAAATAAACACGTTCTTTACCTTGATATATTTTGGGAGAAATGTTTACCATGTCCTGTCGTTAAGTGGAGATCTATATACATTTGCCAAAGTGATTCTTTTAGAGAGCTGGTCAGAGGACCAGAGCAGTCTTACTGTGTGCAGTGTAACTCTCGTTTGGCTGTCATTCTGATATTGCCTAAGTTCCTGCCAGGTGGGACTTTATCAGCTCTCAGAATTAATACTGTTTTGAGAGAAGAGATCTGGGGTCAAGGATGCACTAGATGTGAGCCAGAGACAGAAGCAGGCATGGCAGCAGGAGGCAGTCACAGAAGGCACTGCCACATTCCCACCTGATGACATGTGTGCTGGGTTGGCATGGATGTGAGGGAACCTACGTTCCCACCTGATGACATGTGTGCTGGGTTGGCATGGATGTGAGGGAACCTACGTTCCCACCTGATGACATGTGTGCTGGGTTGTCATGGATGTGGGGGAACCTAGCACAGTGATTTTGACCACTAAATCTCATTGATGGATTTCTCGGAACATTCAGAAAGAAGGATCATGCAAAAACTTCATGCCTTTGTTCCCTCTAGTTCACTCCTCTAAGCAGTAAATGTAGCTCAGTGAATTTTGCAGGATAAGCTTGCTGATACAGACCACGTAGCCCCAAATCCTGCAGATCCCTGCATCCTTAATGTCATAATATCTTAATGCCTATTAATCCAGGATTACTTATGTCTCACTAGCTGGAGTCACATCATTGTTCAAAGCATCATCAGTTTCAGTTTCTGAAATAATCCTCAGCATTTGAAATCAAGACCAATAATAGGTTTATTAAACAGTATTTAGGTGTCTTCATAATTATACTTGATATATTATGAAGTGCCTTGGGGTTGGGGAAGAAGGAGGCCAAGAGGGCATCCTTCTTCAGTATAATGAGATAACTCTGCTTTGCTGGGTTTACATATTGGATTTCTGTGGATGATTTTGCTTAGGGGTGAGTGGGTAGATTTCAGCTGTTACAGAGAGGCTAAAGAGCACTGATGGAACACCAACCACCGTCCAGTACATTAACCCTCTCTGCATTACCCACACCACATTATCATCCGGCACCTTCCTGAATAGTCCCTATGACATGCTGCTCACTACTTCTAAAGCTGAACTGCAGCATTGAGCCTTGGGAGCTTGTTAAAGATACAGACTCTCAGGTCCCACCTTGGATGGACCAAATCAGAATGTGCATTTTAACATGAGTACCTGATGATTCATATAGTAAGCTCAAGTTTGAAGCACTCAGTATTTGGTCTTGGCTGCACATTGGAATCACCTGGAGAGCCTTAAAAATTCCAAAGCATCGCTCCCACTCTGATTTAACTGTCTTGCAGTATAACAATAGCAACAGGCTTTTAGAAGCTGCCCAGGTTTGTGCTGGTCAGCCTGGGCTGAGAATCACTGGCATTGGGAATCCAGAGGCTGGTGGTTGCAATGGACGCAGTTCCTCCTTAAACTGAGTGAAAACCCGTGGCCTTGTAACTTTTGCTATTTTATCCCAAGTCATAAGCAATGAGCTAACTCCAACTCTTGGGACAGTACTGCGTGTATGAAGTGATCCTGAACCTGCCTTTCTCCCCAGAGCTCATTGTGCAGAGAGGGCCATCTCTCATTTGACAAGTCAAGCAGCCTCATCCCTCTTGCCTTTCCTCAAATATCCCCAAGGCTCTCTCTCTTGACAGCATGTTACTAGATGCTTGACTTTTGGATTTGACTTGTTAATTCCTGGAAACATGTGCAGATCCATGTGGTTTTCTTATAGTATAAGAACTACAACTCAGATTTCACCTTACAAATGCAAATGATGTAACCTAACTCTGTGTACCCTCATATTAATCTGTAAGAATAATGAGAAGAAAGCAACACCCATGTATTTCTTTGTTCACTTTCACATTAGATGTTAGAGTTAATCTCAAAGTTGGTTCTCTTAGAAGCAGGCAAAAATTGCAACTGATTGATTGATGAATTCAGCAAATACTTATTCAGCACCTATTATATACTGGCCTGGTGCTAGGGGCTGGGGACATTGAGGGAGTTATGGTTCTTGGTCTCTTCCTCAGTAGCTCACAGTCTGCAGAGGAGACAGGGTAACATGGGAAGTGGTTGACAGAAGTTACCTCTTTCTTCAAGAGGAGTAGAGATACCGAGGAGGGGTATGAGTGAGCCTTTATAAATATAGGTAAAAGATAAAACATATTAATATACAAACATTTAAAATAGCACTAAATATAATAGCACAGTGTTTTACACATGTGGAAAACTATGTGAAGAGTAATGGGAATGCAGAAGTGAGATGGAGGAGGGGCTGTTTGGCTGGGCCTTGGTGAATGGGTAGGAGGTAGGTGCCCAGAGCAGAGAGAGGGACTCTGCAGGGAGAGAAGATAGAAAATGCTAAGGCATTGAGGGAGAGCCCTCCATGAAGAAGATGCCATTCCAGCTGAGCAGAAAATGGCTGTGTGAGGAAGCATCAGAAGACTTGGCTGGAGAGGAAGACAGAGGCCATATTGTGAAGGACCTCTTATGACAGGCTGGAGAGTGTACAATTTATCCTGTTTAAAACAGGATTTATATGATCAGATACGTGTGCTCTGGCACTGGTGGAACATGGATGGAGGCAGGCCAGGCGAGAGGCAGTGAGTCCTGTTGGGTGCTGTGCAGTGGTCCCAGCAGGAAGTGACTGTGGTGTGAGGTGGGGCCATGGCATGAGTGGATGACTCGCGGGGAGGGATTCAGGAGGGACTGTGACTGGAAGGAAGAGCTGGTGGGTTTGGGTGCTGATGGCACAACTTAGCTGGTCTTCTGGCTGGGGAAGAGTGAGCTGACTGTCATTGGTATAGTGACCAGGGAAGAAGAGCAGGTTTGTGGAGGAAGTCGGTAGATCACTGTTTGAACCTGCTGACCTGGAGGGCAGACAGTGAGATGTCTGGATCTGGACTGGGGCAAAAGGGCTGGGCTGGCATTAGATTTGGGAGACCTCATGTGTCCACAATCCATGAGAAGGTGAGGAGAATTCAGGGCATGAGAGGAGAGAAAGGGTAGGGGGAGTCCAGGGAAATAGGCTGGGAGAGAGTGGAGGATGGAGCCTACCTCTGAGGGGGAGGGCTCTCTGCATTTGGAAATAAGAGGTCAGGGCAGGTCAGTATGAGTGGCATGTTCAGAGAAGGCTAGACTTGGTAGGCTGAGTGGTGGGAAGTGAGGAAGTGGAGGCAATGGGTGTAGACTCAATCCTTTTTATTTATTTTTTATTGTTGGGGATTCATTGAGGGTAAAAGAAACTAGGTTACACTGATTGTATTTGTTAGGTAAAGTCCCTCTTATAATTGTATCTTGCCCCCAAAAGATGTGTCACACACCAAGACCCTGCCCTCTCCTGCCCTCTCTCTGCTCTTCCTTTCCCCTACCCCTCCCTCCTTCTTTCTCTTTCTGCTCTCTCCTTCCCCCACCCCCACCATTTCATTAATTGTCCTCAAATTAAAATTGAATACATAGGATTCATGCTTCTCCATTCTTGTGATGCTTTACTAAGAATAATGTGTTCCACTTCCATCCAGGTTAATACAAAGGCTGTAAAGTCTCCATTTTTTTAATGGCTGACTAGTATTCCATGGTATACATATACTACAGCTTGTTAATCCATTCCTGGTTTGGTGGGCATTTAGCCTGCTTCCACATTTTGGCAATTGTAAATTGAGCTGTAATAAACAGTCTAGTGCAAGTGTCCCTATGATAAAAGGATTTTTTCCCTTCTGGGTAGATGCCTAGTAATAGGATTCCAGGATCAAATGGGAGGTCAAGCTTGAGTTCTTTGAGGTTTCTCCATACTTCCTTCCATAAAGGTTGTATTAGTTTGCAGTCCCACCAGCAGTATAAAATTGTTCCTTTCTCTCCACATCCATGCCAGCATCTGCAGTTTTGAGATTTTATGATGTAGGCCATTCTCACTGGGGTTAGATGGTATCTCAGGGTGGTTTTGATTTGCATTTCTCCAATAATTAGGGATGATGAGCATTTTTTCATATTTGTTAGCCATTCATTTGTCTTCTTTAGAGAAGGTTTTATTCATGTCTCTTGACCATTGATATATAGGATTGTTGGCTTTTTTCATGTGGATTAATTTGAGTTCTCTATAGCTCCTAGTTATCAAGCTTTTGTCTGATACAAAATATGCAAATATCCTTTCCCATTGTGTAGGTTGTGTATTTGCTTTGGTTGTTGTCTCCTTAGCTGTACAGAAGTTTTTCAGTTTAGTTAAGTCCCATTTGTTTATTTTTGTTGTTGTTGCAAGTGCCATGGCAGTCTTCTTCATGAATCTTTCCCTAGGCCAATATCTTCCAGTGTTTTTCCTATGCTTTCTTTGAGGATTTTTATTGTTTCGTGCCTTAAATTTAAGTCCTTTATCTATCTTGAATCAATTTTTGTGAGTGGAGAAAGATGTGGGTCCAGTTTCAGTCTTTTACATATGGATATCCAGTTCTCCCAGCACCATTTATTGAATAGGGAGTCTTTCCCCCAAGGTATGTTCTTCTTTGGTTTATTGGAGATTAGGTGGTTGTAAGATGTTAGTTTCATTTCCTGATTTTCTAGTCAATTCTAAATGTCTATGTCTCTATTTTTGTGCCAATACTATGCTGTCTTGTAGTACAGCCTAACATCTGGTATGCTGATGCCCCTGGCTTTGTTTTTATTACTAAGAACTGCCTTAGCTATATGGGTTTTCTTTTGGCTCCATACAAAACAAAGAATCATTTTTTCCAAGTCTTGAAAGTACAATGTTGGTGTTTTAGTAGGGATGGCGTTGAATTGGTAGATTGCTCTGGAAAGTGTAGACATTTTAACAATGTGGATTCTTCCCAGCCATGAGCATGGTATGTTCTTCCATTTGTTAAAGTCCTCTGCTATTTCCTTTCTTAGGGTTTCATAATTTTCTTTATAGAAGTTCTTCACCTCTTTAGGTATATTCCTAGGTATTTCATTTTCTTTGAAGCTATGGTGAAGGAAGTTGTGTCCTTAATTAGCCTCTTATCTTGTCTGTTATTGGCGTATTCAAAGGTTACTTACTTGTGGACATTGATTTTATATCCTGAGACATTACTGTATTTTTTGATGACTTCTAGGAGTCTTGTGGTTGAGTCTTTGGGGCTCTCTAAGTATAAGATCATATTGTCAGCAAAGAGGGAGAGTTTGACCTCCTCTGCTCCCATTTGGATGCAATTTATTTCTTTGTCTTGCCTAATTGTATTGGCTAGAACTTCCAGCACTATGTTGAATAGTAGTGGTGAAAGATGAAAACCTTGTCTGGTTCCAGTTCTAAGAGGAAAAGCTGGGCGGGGGGGTGGGTGGATGTAAGATGGCAGACTGCAGCCAGCTTTCCACGAAGGCTCCTGTCCAGAAGGAGAATTAAAAGAAATAAGTTTATCAAGTAAGCCGATGGTTTGGAGCAGAGCCAAGAGAGAAGGTTGAAGAATGCACATCAACTGTGCTGAGGTGAGCTACAAACCCAAAGATACAAACAAAAGTTACTAAATCCACTGCCAAGTGAATGGGAGTCCCCTCCCCCATGAGAAGGGCTCACAGTAAACTTCATACAAACAAGCGAGCAGAGTTCAAACATCCTCCCATTCCATCCCATGGGAGAGACCCTCTAAAAACTGGACCTCCTACCCATACTAGGGTGCCATGGTACTCTCCTGCCAGGCATAAAACTGTATATATTCTCTACCTGCAACTCAGAACTCCCAGCACTCCCCTCCACTCTCACCCTGAGTTCTGAAAGCCTGTCCCCATGGAGTCCAGATTCTTGGGCATTTTCTTGAGAGGTGTGGACAGGGGAAGGCCCTTGCTTGGCTGTGCTGATTTTGTGGTGTGGTAGTAAGGAGCGGACGATAAGCTGAGAGAGAACCATACAGGAGTGGCGGTGCCCCCAGGCACAGAAAAGTAGCAGCAGTTCGAACAATAAGGCTCATGCTTCTGGGGCTATCCTGACAGACATGCCCTGTCTCTCTGCGCAACCAGAGGAAGCCAGGCACTTTCTCCAGTGGCAGCCACTGGCTGACAGATCTGGGACATGAGTAAAATGAATGTGGGGACTAGAATAGAGGCATGCAGAGTGGGCACACTCCCAGGGAAGGGCTGATCCAGAGGACTGCTTACTCCCAGGGCGGGGCTGAACCAGAGGACTACTATACTTCCAGGGCAGGGCTGAACCAGAGGACTGCTTTACTCCCAGGGCAGGGCTGAGCCTGAAGACTGCTTTACTGAGGCTAAGATGCACCCGGCCCTCAGGGGATCATAGCTGACACAAAGGCAGGCAGGCAGAGACTGGAACTGACAGCTCAGGGTAAGATCTAATTGCTTGCGGCTGCCCTGAACTGAGTTGTGGTTTCTGTTACCTCAAGCGGTGTCTGATAGTGGGACAGAAACAAACTCTGTGCAATTGTGCTGCACTGCCAGCAACATCAATCAGGGGTGGGGCTGGAACTGAGTGAACCGCCCCAGCTTCCATTAGGCACCCAAGGTTGTCAGGCCTCCCCTCCCCCTGCCAGATAGTGGACGAGAACATCGACCTGGCTGAGGAGACATAGATCTTCCTCTGACTCAGGCAGGTGTAACCTCCTGGGGCATCTGCTCATTGGGGGGAACTGGGTCACCTTCCCAGACTAATTTATTTGCTAGGTTAGTCCTTCTGACCTCACAGAGCACCAGAACCAGTCATACTTGAGCTGCCAGCAGATCCCTGCTATCTAGTTGTCAGAGACCTTTTGAACTCCCCCACTTGAGACCAGTGCTGACTGGGTCAATTGATTTGGACTTCTTGAACTGGGCCAATCACCCAAGGACTATCCAAAGTGGTACTCTGGGTATGTGGTTGTGGGAAAGTGTGATTTTCCTTTTCCAAATGTTGCCTGTGAGGAGTGAGGTGACTTAATTGCTGGTATTTCTCCACAGCTGAGACTTCAACCCAGAGTAACCGATTTACTAGGGTAGAACAGAGACCAGCTGAAAACAAGACAGAGTGACTTAACCCCACCAAACCAAGGAGGCCCCCAGTTTCTCAGGCTGTAGCACTGTACGGGTCCTTGGCAAAGCTCTAGGAGAAAAGGTACAGACACCAATCCCAGCCTTTGGGCAAAGGGCTAGTTAATAACTATTCCTAGAGCCCCCAAACCAACTTCTTTTTATCTGCTCATCTAGCCAAATGGTGTAAATTAAGCATGGAGCGGAATCAGTGGGAAAACTCCGGTAACATGAATAACCAGAGTTGATCAATGCCCTCCCCAAAGAAGGGTACGGCAGATGCAACTGAAGATCCCATCTATAAACAGATGACTAAGATGTCAGAAATTGAGTTCAGAGTCTGGATAGCAAATAAGATTAAAATAATGGAGGAAAGGAGGGAATTAGAATTTCAAGGAATTATTCAACAGATGTCTCAAGAATTCAACAATTTCAAAGATAAAATGACCAAAGATTTTGACACATTGAGGTAAGAGTTTGTTGCCTGCAAAGATCTGAAAAATACAGTAGAATCTGTCACTAACAGAATGGAGCAGGCAGAAGAAAGGATCTCTGACATTGAAGACAAAGCTTCTGAACGTGCCCAAATGCTCAAAGAGGAAGAGAAATGGCGAGCAAAAATGGATCATTCTCTCAGAGAGCTCTGGGATAATTCAAGGAAAACTAATATTTGCGTTATAGGAATCCCTGAAGGCAATGAAGTTGCTTCACAAAACACAGAGGCTCTTCTTCATGAAATTATGAAAGAGAACTTTCCAGA